TTTACCTAAAATGTTTATAAATAATGATCACCTTTTTCTTTCTTTCTTTTTTTTTACCACGAATATTCTGCAAGGCCAAGTTTTAAACTCATTTACAGCGGTGGTCTGTTATCTCAGTGTATATGTCATCAGGTTTCTTGTTTTCTTGTTTTTTTTAATATTCTTCATATCTTCCAAACGTTGTTAAATATTTACGAATATTTCCAAAATATAAAAATTGTAAAATCGTCTTGAGAAAAGTCACTCGAAAACTTGTTACTGACTTCATAAGGCCTGATTGAAACATTCTAACGCAAGAATATAACTATGAATAAATAAAATATTATTTCTCCTTATTTTATTAACAATTCAATTTGAATTTACTTCACTCCAAACTAACATAGTTCCAAATTTGAACTTACTTCACTCCAAAACTAACATAGTTCCAAATTTGAACTTACTTCACTCCAAACTAACATAGTTCCAAATTTGAACTTACTTCACTCCAAACTAACATAGTTCCAAATTTGAACTTACTTCACTCCAAACTAACATAGTTCCAAATTTGAACTTACTTCACTCCAAACTAACATAGTTCCAAACAGAACTTGAAGGCCTTCAAAAAAATTATCTCCTATAATGATGACTGTGCTGCCCCCTGTCGTCCAACCTTCACTGGGACAGATCGCTTTAATACACGGTGTTGCTGCAAACAGAACTGAAAAAATGTTTAAGTACTTGTGTTAAAATTCGCAGTACAGTGCTTGCATATAGAACACATTGTGATAAAATAACATACAAAGACTGCCTTAATTTAACCTTAAAATGTTCACACAGGCAGAATAGAAAACTATTCAGAAAGAAAGTCAAAGGTTGAACAATGCCATAGAATGTTCTAGAAGTAGAGTATTGTCGTCTGAATCTAAACATACCTTAGTGGTAACTAAATTAAAAGTGCAATCAAAGTTATTAAGTACTTCAGACATTGTTAAATAAACAAAAAACCATGAATGTTATACATATATATATATATATATATATATGTACACACAAACACATATTATACACTGTTGATAAGTGTGGTTCATCAAAAAAATGTGGAGGGAAGGGTAGGTTTATATACGATCATACCTTACTTTTAACATGTAAAAACCGATTTATTGTTTTGGATATTCGTGCAATAGGAGGGCAACTATAATCAAATATTGGAATTTAACTGTCTCTCTTATAACGCACACATGGCCATGAAATTCTGAGCGCCACATGTTCTGGGAACGGGTTATGTACCCTTAAATCCATAGCCTGGCACGATTACTATAAGGCCACTATAGCGTAATATTTGTAGAAAAATCTAACATAAAATATATATTGAGAAATCCCGTATCATATTTTATGTTTTTAGTATCAGACCATTAAATCTACCATACAGAATCATAAGTGGGCCTAGTATGGCCTGGTGGTTAGGATGCTCAATTCGAAATCCGCGGGTCACGGAATCGAAACCTCTCACAGAAAATGCTCAACCTTTTAGCTCAGGAGGAGTTATGATGTGAAGATCAATCCCAGTATTCCTTGGCAAAAAGTAGCTGAAGAGTTGGAGGTGGGTAGTATTAAATAGCCGCCTTTCCTCTAGTCAATCACTTCAAAGTTAGTGTAGATTGACCTCGAGTAGCTTTGCATGAATTTCAGCCAACAAATAAAGCATCATACCATTTATAACTATCCATTAAAACATGAGAATTAGTAGCCGTTCTGTACTTTATAGAGGGCGTATCGCAAAATTCGCTAAATTTAATATTGATATGTCTCTCTCCTTTTTCTTCTTGGAGTACCTCATTTTCATTAATATGTATATTAAACTGTATTATTCAATTCAAGAAATCAGTTTCAGCAGCTTGAAACATTCCCTAACAATAGCTTATAACAACATCCAAATGAAAATTGATATTAAAAGAAATATGTTTGATATGACTTATTCATAGTGTCATTTTTACTTGTTAGTCACTGTGTATGTGAAACAAACACTGAAAAGAATGTCACTAAGTTTCATATAAAACTGGAGAAAATCCTCAAAGTTCTATCGAACACGAATAACAAAGATACACCGAAATATTTATATTAGGTCAGTTTGAAAATTTAATATTATTATAATTTTTATAGAGTGATCAAGATGTACTCTACTTATCTTTAATACTTTTATATAAAATTTTCATTTACTTTTATCGAAATTTCTCAAGCTATAAGTTTGATGTTGACTGAGCAGAAAAAAGTTCGCTTTCTTTTACTTCCAAAGCACTTTTTAAATTTACAAAATATATATTCGTAAACAAATTTGATATTTTAAAAAAAGGTTAATATATGCTATTGCCACAACCACTGCGTTCCATTACTGTTTTTTTTTTGCTGCTTTCTTAAACGCTCCAGTGGTTTCATATACATTTTGAAGGTTTCGCATCATGAAACCAATTTTATTTATTTCCGCTAGAAATATTTCTCCTCGTCAAAATAAATGTTTCTATAAAGATAACAATTATTTACACGGTAAAACGAAAATTATTCTAGCTAAACAATTTAAATATTATCCATCGAAATCCTCATCTTTACTTTGGGTTTTAAATGTGGAAACGATATTATTAAACATTTCGCGTCATTACACACAATAAAACGTTTTTCTAAAACAAATCATTGTACTTACATACGCCAGAGGGTTAATTTAACATGATGTTTTGTAGGTTATATTAAACACTAATACTTGCTGTGAATGCCCGCTTACAGTTTTGAAATCATTGACGTGTCAACATGGAGTAATCTGATAAAAATGTATATATTATGAAATCTACCCATTCGAATAAGATTACAGCTCTGTTTAAATATAATAAAATTTATATAGAAAAACAATATGGCTAAAAGTGAACATAATGATACTACTGGACGTTTAGTTTATGTAATAATACCAAAAAAAAATCCTTCTTCCCTAATTCAGTTACTTGTTTTATGACTGACGCACAATCGAAGACGCAGATCGTTTCAAAGCAAAACTGAGACAACAAACTCTATTGAATTTCGACCAGGAAGCGGTGGAAGTCGTGTGACAAGCAAGTCTGCATAAAGACCGCAAGAACAGGGGCCCTTTAAATTGTGACGTTATTGAGATATAAAGTGAACTGACTGGAGCCCTGTAGCACAGAAATGGCGGCCAGTAGAAGTGGATACCGGTCAATAAGTGTGATTGAATGTGGCACAGCGAACCTTGAGCTGAAAAAAAAACTAGTAATCAATGTATCAACTCCCAACGGGGTTGTCCCAGGCCAAATGCTGCGGGTAAGTAGCGCCAGAGGTTTTTACAAAGCATGGCACCAACTCGTCACTCAACAACAATGTCCACAGAAATGGTTGAGGTTTGAGAGACTCCTAACTTCCTAGTCGATCTGCTTGTCGTTCACGTTTACTCTATATTAGTTGCCCAGCTTTATTAGTTACTATCAACTTAACATAACCCTCGCATGTTCCAATACTACAGACTGGTTTTAAGAAACATATACAAAATCTACATTTCTATACTATAGTTAGGTTAGTGAAGTGTCTGTCGTTATAGACTGGGTTTATAACACATTTACAAAATCTACATTTATATACGAAATTAAGATTAGTGAAGTGCCTGTTATTATAGACTGGGTTCGTGATATATTCATAAAATCTACATTTATATACGAAACTAAGATTAGTTAAGTGCCTGTTATTATAGACTGGGTTCGTGATATATTCATAAAATCTACATTTATATACGAAACTAAGAATAGTGAAGTGCCTGTTGTTATAGACTGGGTTCGTGATATATTCATGAAATCTAAATTTATATACGAAACTAAGATTAGTTAAGTGCCTGTGGTTATAGACTGGGTTCGTGATATATTCATAAAATCTACATTTATATACGAAACTAAGGTTAGTGAAGTGCCTGTTATTATAGACTGGGTTCGTGATATATTCATAAAATCTACATTTATATACGAAACTAAGAATAGTGAAGTGCCTGTTGTTATAGAGTGGGTTCGTGATATATTCATAAAATCTACATTTATATACGAAACTAAGAATAGTGAAGTGCCTGTTGTTATAGACTGGGTTCGTGATATATTCATAAAATCTACATTTATATACGAAACTAAGGTTAGTGAAGTGCCTGTTACAGACTGAGTTTCATTGATGCCTTTTGTTATAGACTGAGTTTCACTGTTTCACGTAATGTGACTAAGGTTAGTGAAGTGCCTGTTATAGACTGAGTTTCACTCTTTCACGTAATGTGACTAAGGTTAGTGAAGTGCCTGTTATAGACTGAGTTTCACTCTTTCACGTAATGTGACTAAGGTTAGTCAAGTGCCTGTTACAGACTGAGTTTCATTGATGCCTTTTGTTATAGACTGAGTTTCACTGTTTCAGGTAATGTGACTAAAGGTTAGTGAAGTACCTGTTATAGACTGAGTTTCACTCTTTCACGTAATGTGACTAAGGTTAGTGAAGTGCCTGTTATAGACTGAGTTTCACTGTTTCAGGTAATGTGACTAAGGTTAGTGAAGTGCCTGTTACAGACTGAGTTTCATTGATGCCTTTTGTTATAGACTGAGTTTCACTGTTTCAGGTAATGTGACTAAAGGTTAGTGAAGTACCTGTTATAGACTGAGTTTCACTCTTTCACGAAATGTGACTAAGGTTAGTGAAGTGCCTGTTACAGACTGAATTTCATTGATGTCTTTTGTTATAGACTGAGTTTCACTGTTTCAGGTAATGTGACTAAGGTTAGTGAAGTGCCTGTTATAGACTGAGTTTCACTGTTTCACGTAATGTGACTAAGGTTAGTGAAGTGCCTGTTATAGACTGAGTTTCACTGTTTCACGTAATGTGACTAAGGTTAGTGAAGTGCCTGTTATAGACTGAGTTTCACTGTTTCACGGAACGTGATCGTATAGACGACCTACGTTAGTGATTATCTATACATTAGTATTTTGTCTCACTATGCTATAAGACTTTTACAGTAATTTCTATGTAGAAGTTTTTCACAAGCTGCTAATAATCAGTCGATAGAAGTTTTCGATCCAGTTTCTTTTAAATGCGCTTGGAACATATTATTAGAAGAACATTAGATCTCAAGCAATCATCCAAGAATCTCACTTACCTTCTGAGGGCTCCAATCTCTTGGCTCTCCTCCCGTGTTTGGAGTTGTTGTGTACAAATATGTTGTCAGAAACTGCCAAAAGAGGACCATCCACCGTGACTTGCGTTGACACAACAACCTGGTATGGAACAGATATAAAACAATTACATTTGTGCATATGTTTCAATATCTCTTTTATATTTAAAATGGTCGCTGTTTTGTTGCTAGAAACTATTGTTGCCCACAGGACACTTATGCACTAGATGCATAATGTTAATTTTAGGACAGTGTTCAAGGTGTAACACAAATATAAACTTATCAGTTAGTTATCTTTGTTTTAAAATTCAGCCCAATGATGCCAACTGCCTTTCTTTTTCTAAATTTTTACAATCAACTGAATACGTGTTTACGTTAAAACAGCCGCTGGTCATATGACGAATATCTGCTAATTCGTTGTCTTGAGACAAGCGGTAGTAGTGCAGTGTCGTTTAGATATATATTTTGTACCTGTATCCCTTGTGGAAGCTGTTTGTATTCTAACAGTCTCAGTGTAAAAAATAATTTAGAATGTTTATTCTTTGTTACATGCTTTACGAACACATGTATTAATTAATAAAGCGCGTGTCTCAAACACGTGAGATGTTTTGTGTGTGTGCGTGCGTGTTTTTTCAGGGAATATTTGTTAGTAAATTAATTTTTTAAATTACTAAACCAATAAGAGTATATATTATGTTATATTGACAATTTTCCCAACGAGGATTCTGTATACCATACTTCTTGAAAATCCTCTAAAAGGATCTTATCAAAAACTGACCGTAAGGTTGGTGATAAGCGCGTTCTCTTTTGTGGATTCTGGGAAAATTATAATTTTATCTCCTCCACTTTTAGTTTGTATTGGTATATCTAATAAAGACAGAAAATATTCAGGTTATTAAATTCAACTTTTATCATTACGTGTCTTATTCTATTGATATTATGTACATGTACAGGGTGTTCCAGAAAAAAGATTCCATATGCTGAAGTTGGATAAAACTATTATTGCTAAAAGTAAATAGCTGAAACCTTGTATTTCATTATGAAGTTTATAATAACAAATATCAGGCTTAGTGACTCTTGAAAATCATTTGTTTAAGATACTATCTACTACTTACTATCATTTAGATCACGAATGCACGTGAGAGATCTATACTAACAGTAGATTAGTGTGGGGACAAAAAAATTCAAAACCTGAACTGCGAAATGGCCAGGATCGCTAAAGTTGCCCCCCCCCCCCATGGAAGAAAGTTATATTATAAGAATGTAAGGTCCCCCGGCTTATTATCTTGGGGATCTACAATGACTTTCAAATATTTCACTCGGTACGAAGAAAAGTTTTGAATTTTGAGAGCAGATTGTCAAACAGACCTTTCTTGATGACATTGTATGGTAGATTTGGATAACATTTGAAAGATTATTTGACAGGAATTTTAAGGTCATGTACTGAACACTTCAATATAGCCCTATATTGGAATTTCGAACTTTAAATCCATTTAAAATTTATAAATATATAATATTGATTGCATTAGATCTAAGAATATTATTTTAAGATACACATTTAAGATATGAGATTATAGATATATTTATATTAACTAATATAAATTTGTTCAAACCACATAAAGAAAATATAACAATGGCATTATAAAATATAATCATACAATGCTTTTCTTTTTTAGATTAAGACTGAATTTATTTGCTGAATTGTAATGGCGCAAGCAACATGTACACGAAAAAATAAGGCTTATTGCTTGATTTTAGTGACTGTGTGCTCACCACCTATAGTGTCATTATGAAATAGTATCTCCTCATTAGAGATAATCTTCTAGAAGATGGAAGAAAAGATGAACCATCAGTGTCAGAGATTCCCGAACTGGTTGCAAATAGATTAGAATTTGTCTGGAACATGATAGCACACAAAAGAATCATTCGGAGGATCAGAAGTTATCGTGACAAGTACAAAGCAATTCTCAAACAACCAAAATTGTGACAGAATGAGGAGTCCGACTAAGAGATATTAAAGCAAAATCTCTGTTTTGATATTGTAACTTATGTGTTCCAGTTGCTTGAGAAAGACAATTCTTTGAGGTCATCATCTGTTGGACCTTTGAATGGAGGACGTTTTCTCACAGAATCAGATGACATACTTTGAGACATACTCAGGAAAGTATGTTAGAGAGTTTGACATATCAGCTGCAGCTAGTGCAAGTGCTGTTATTCAAGAACTGGGACTGAGTGATAAAGAAGATACATCCTGTGTTATCGATAAGAGGAAAGTATCATCCATCAACATCCATGGAGGGACATGTATATTGGTCACGTTGCGCCTCCTGCTTCAACTACAGAAACCCCAAAGATGAGTACAATTGACCGACAACATCCATTGAGAGACATGTGTATTGGTCACGTTGCGCCTCCTGCTTCAACTACAGAAACCCCAAAGATGAATACAATTGACCGACAACATCCATTGAGAGACATGTGTATTGGTCACATTGCGCCTCCTGCTTCAACTACAGAAACCCCAAAGATGAGTACAATTGACCGACAACATCCATTGAGAGACATGTGTATTGGTCACGTTGCGCCTCCTGCTTCAACTACAGAAACCCCAAAGATGAGTACAATTGACCGACAACATCCATTGAGAGACATGTATATTGGTCACGTTGCGCCTCCTGCTTCAACTACAGAAACCACAAAGATGAGTACAATTGACCGACAACATCCATTGAGAGACATGTATATTGGTCACGTTGCGCCTCCTGCTTCAACTACAGAAACCACAAAGATGAGTACAATTGACCGACAACATCCATTGAGAGACATGTATATTGGTCACGTTGCGCCTCCTGCTTCAACTACAGAAACCCCAAAGATGAGTACAATTGACTTTTTCCCATCCATTGATGTTCAGCTTGAGGATTTATTATCAGTAGGACGTGATGGAACAAATATAAATACAGACTCAAACAATGGAACAATCTGGCACCTAGAGATTAATCTCAAGAAACCACTTCAATGGCTAATGTGTCTTCTACACATGAAACCCCCCCCCCGTCATTTACTTGGGACATTAGACGATGCAAATGTTAACCCAAATGCATTTTGAGTTCCAATGGGAAAGACGCTGATGATTGCCAGCCTATTACAGCTCCTGATTCGACAAGCGTTGATGATGAAATAAAAGCAATTTTTTACACTGTTCTTCAATGGAACGCCTACTTTGCACATAATGAAAATGTACTTTTAGCCACGTTTACAGATGAAAGAACCTGGGCTAAGGAAGGTATTGGCAGCAAGATTGGAGCCCTCTCAGGATCTACGAAAATTTGTGGTTCCCTGAACTGAATTTTGATGCAACTGATTACATCAATCTTATCAGAAGGACCCCAGATGCACGACATGACTAGAAGCATTGCAGAAATAACACTTAAAATGTTCAATGCTGACAAGAAACTCCAAAAACTCAGTTTCTTGTGAGTGTGAAATGAGCATCTGTTTATGGTCAGAAACAGAGAGATGGATTTATACAAGTAAGAATTGAAGTGCCTTAAAAAATTTGTTTCGAAATCAATTATAGTACAAGCCAGGAATGAACTAATATGGCCTTGAACGGTTGGGTGGTTGGGCATGGGTGTGTGGTACTCATTTCGTATTTGATTACCTCTTTGCGGTGATTGAATTCTGAGTGATTTTGACACCAAATATGTCTTAATCAGAAAACAAACAAACTACATCATAGTTATGTATTATGCCAAATATCCACATGCTTATATTTTCAAGATCACTCAGGTGATAAGGCTAAGGGAATGTGCTTTCATCACAATAGGTTTCTAGTTATTAGGAAATTTTCTCCACAAAATATATTTCATCCTATTAATTTGAACCACCCTACTGTACATAGCTTGCTAAATCTAGTAATCTGTCTATTAAATAATTTCCATCTCATATATTTATATGGCTTTATGTAGACAGTTTTAGGGGAAATTCATTAAAGTTCTAGGCTTACAGCGTGAGTGTCAGTTTTCCGTTAATGTAGTTTACTTAATGTTAACTTTTCTTCAATAATTATATCTATTGTAGAACAAAAATTAACAATATACGTAATGATATTTATTATTAACTGAAACAATTGGACTTACATGTTTATTGCTATCATTAGTTCTCTTTGAAATTTCACCAAAGCAAGTCCTGATCTACTTATTCAACTTTTGTCTCAGCTGTTTGTGACTTCGCCGAACCAAATCCTGATCAATTTATTCAACTTTTGACTCAGCTGTTTGTGACTTCGCCGAACCAAATCCTGATCAATTTATTCAAGATTTAGAACAACTGTATGTGACTTCACTTGAGCAAGTCCTGAACTATTTACTGAACTTAGCTGTTTACAAACTGAGCTGTTTGTGACTTCACCAAACAAAATCCTGATTTATTTATTCAACTTTTGAGGCAACTGTTTGTGACTCTTTTTGGAGCTGCTTGTGAGTTCAATTGTGGATGTTTTCTTACTTGCATTAATAGTTTGTGAATCCTTTGTAATTAAATAACAAAACTGTTGTTATGATAATCCTGTACTCTTCCGAAGATAGCTTGAATTTCAGACATATAAGAAGGCTAAAGATCAATGTTCGGCATCACTCAATATGCTTCACAAAACTTACTAATCCGACTGGCAGATCAAAGACCTGAAAACCGAGACTACGATGCACTACTTGTATGTCACCACCCGAAAAGCTGGTGCAAGAAATTATATATAAATACATAAGTAATTTGTTTTCAACAGTAACTCGTTGAGTGAAAGACATTTCGGACTTTTACTCACAGCAATCCAGATTCCAGATCAAGTCAAATAAGATTTATGTGTTTCATTAATTATGGACGGATATTAATTAATTTGTTTATTTATTTATTTGAATATTTATGGATGAACACTATTGTGTTTGCCAAGTATCACATGTTTCACTGTTTAAGGGCAGGTATTATTGCGTTTATCCAGTGTACCGTATTTTCTAAATATCATATGTTTCACTGTTTAAAGACAGATTTTATTGTATTTATCAAAGGTACCGCATTTTTAGATAGCATAAGTTTCACTGTTTAAGG